TGACATAGCAGTTGCAATTAGTGTACTTCCCACCACACCACCAGATCGAGTCTCATCTTATCGTGGTCCAACACTCGAAGCTGCCGACGGTTCTTTCATTTACATATACGGCCAACGTTCCGTCACAATGTCTTTTGGGTTGAGACGCACCTGGAGATGGACATTTCTTATAGCTGATGTACGATTTGCAATTTTCGGCGCAGATTTTCTCATTAACCTCAGTATCTTGGTAGACATGAAGCACCGCCGATTGCCCTAGTCTCTCTCGTTGTACGATGTTTGCGGAAAGTAGATTCAATCCGTAGAAATCATATCGCTGGGTCCGATTACTAGAAGATGGAAAGTTTGACTGACAGTGGTGACACGAATAGGTTTTCAACGTTGCTATCATCAGTGATATTCTGATCCATGTTTAGTGATGGACGGATAAGGAATAACGACAAACAATGGACGCTGGAGAAATGTTAAGCAAATAGATCTGGAATTGAATTTAAGGTGCAAATGTGAGACGGAGAATTATTCCAAAAACTGGTGGCAGCACCAATTTGTAGTGGAACTCTTAACCGTGATAACTTGAGTATCTACTAACAAATAACGATATCTCCATTATATTAGATGAGACTCATTTGTGAAAAATCAGGGCTTCGACTGGATTCGAACCAGCGTCAAAAACACCATGCCTCAACGAGGCAACCGCTCTACCAGGTGAACTACGAAACCACGCCAAGAGCTCAGAAATTTCACATTTGGACTCGGTTACCCACCCATCCCACTGGCTCACGTGGAATCCAAAAATGACCCAGGGATGGACTTCCCCGGCAGAATTTCTCGAACAGTTTACGCTGACATCCACTAGTAAGTAGATTGGCAGATTTATGATTTTAGATGAGACTCAATCTCGATGATAGTCAGTGAAAAGTTCAAGTCAATTGTTTGCATCTTTATTGTTGGGATTGGTGTGCAAAGTTAACGCAATGGCGCTCGTCTGGACCGTGTCATGTCCTGTTCAGTTCTCGTTCGCTCCGTTCCGATCCGGGTCCAATCGCATCACGTGTGCCTGTGTATCGACGCCCTGAGTTACATCCGGTTGGAGCGTTCCAATCGGCTGAGTGTGCATGTGGTGACCGCGTGCGTGCGTTCGGATGTGGAACAGGGTTTTCGGGCCTATGGATATGTGGGCTCGCATGTGCTGGTTGGGACAGTGGGCGTCACTTAGTCTAGCCGTCTTCCACGTGACGGGCCGCGTGAGAGGGTGACACGACGACGAGACGACGACGACGGATAGTCCAAGGAAGAGTCAAGTTCATGATCAGTATACAGAGAGCTGGCTTGAGTCGATTGATTGTGATTGCTTCAGCAAATCACAAGTATCTTGGGTTAGAATAATATAACAGGATTCTGAATGCACTAGTTGAATCGATAGCATCACCAGTCTGGATGTGTCTATTGTCTGAGGAAGCTGATCGATTGAGCTTATTGGTATCAATGGTTTGACCATCCTTTGCTTGAGCACTTGTGTTTGATGATAACATGGAGACCGTGTTGAAATCGAAATTACAACACTCCTGAGGAAGGTCACCCGAGTTTGTTGAAATTTAGTGTATTACAACTTGCTTGTAACGTTGTGTTATTCTCAATCCATTTACCCATAAATTTGGTTGAACCATTCGGAAAAAGAGAATACTGTTTTCGCTGTAGTTTCTACATACTCCAAATACTGTTTAGTGGCCGGTGCAAGTCACCCACGAATAAAAATTGCCAACACTTAACAAAAGTAAGTATTTACTTTACTGATGAGTAGTCGGCGATTTGGTTAATTTCAAATTGAACATCACCCACAGTTGGTCGCAGCTGTCGCATCCCCATAGACTATCCAGTCGACCCCTTTCGAAAAGAAGCACTAGACTCGAGTTTCGCTCTCATTAGAGCTCGTCATTATTGCATATCCTTGCCACTGCCGGGACTAGAACTCCGATCACGCTTTCATAAGGCAACCGTGTTGA